CCTTGCTGTGCCATTATCATTAGATTTTGCCCTCCTTTGCCCCAGGCTCAGCTGGGCTAACCTGTTTCAGGGTCTGGCTCGGGACAGTTGGAGGATCCAATCTGTGGACCCTTTCCCAGCTCCTGAATGATTCTGCTCTTTCTGGTGTGCTAGTTTCAGCTCACATGAGATCCAAATGCATCTTTTCCAACTGTTCTCTGTCAGCAAACTGAAAGCCCAGCACAAAAGTCTAGCATCCTCACAACACCGAGGGTTTACAGTAGAACAAGACTAACTTGCTCTTCAGATGGCCAACGTATTATTGAGCTGCACTGTTCACACTCTGAGTTCACAACCCTTTGTTTTCAACTGGAGAATGGAGCCCTCCTTGCCCCGGGTGCAGTAGACTAGTGAGCAAGTTACTCACAGAGTGAATGAGAGGTGCTGGACACAGGTCTTCTATCTCTTCCTTGCAGGAGCCTCTGAAGATACAGCTGGGGTTGTCACCTCCACACCACACACAGTTGTACTTTGAGTCAGCTGTTTGGCAGCGGCTACAATCAGTGTGTCCCACAGAGCAGTTGTAAAAAGTCACTGCAAAGGAGAAAAATTCAGAGGCATCTGCAAACATCCCCTAGGGCACAGAATAATCCAGCAACTTTGCATCTTGCACAGAACCCTTTCCCCCTCTCTTCCCCGTAACAAGCAACAGAAATGAAGCTGTATGTTTTCCTTAGTTTCCCTATGATAGGACTACTACAGATGCAAAAGCCTCATTTGAGTATTTCTCAATTCTCTTCCACCTCATCTGCTGTCTTTTTGCTGGGGAGGTGTTCCACTCCTACCATGAAGATCTGCAGCACTGTCCACTCGAAGGTGTCGTCGCCTCTGCACAAACACCACAGCATTGAATTCGAGTTGAGGCGCTGTGTAACTGTACTGCAAAGACAAAGACCATCAAGACAAAGGGCTTAATAGAGGCACAAACAAGCCAGCTGAATGGGCAAAAAGCATCAGCATCCATCCTGCGTAGTGCACTGGCACATACAGCCTATATGGAGCTTCCCATCAATGCAGACAAGGCAACGTTAACTGGGGCAGAGGCAGCACAGGCCTGTCCTCACTGGTTCACACAGTCACAATTCTGCTCTAGAACAAGCAGCAGGCATTGGTTCAGTAGAATAAACACTGAAAACAAATGTGTGCTCACAACAATACTTGTCTAGCTTCCTAACTGCATTCTTAAATGGCTAATTCCTATCTACAAGCCAGCTGTTCAGAAAAATGCTCAAGCTGGCATTTCTCTAATTACAGTAGAGCTGAAGATGCAGGATTACAACTGATCCGCCGGGCTCATGTGCACAGACCCTATGTTGTTCCTCTTGCTTAACTATATGAGTTTGTGAACTAAAAATAACACCTCTGTTAGCAAATCTTGCCCTAAGTAAAATTCACCCATCATCCAGAAATGTACAAGACTGTTTCAATTTTTCCTGTTAATCTTACAATCAAGGGGCTAGCTTCCACCACTAAAACCAAAATTGGTATTAATAGCATTTTTCTTTTCACAGAAGAACCACCATCACAGGATAAGTGACAATCCAGCGAACCATGAACAGCAGTGCCTCAAGCTAAAGCAGGAGCGGCACTGTCCTGGCAGGTTGCAATGGGTGATTCAGAGACGGCATCATCCCGTACTACAGCAAATACAACAACAGGTTGTGAGGCTCAGACTGCACAATCTTTCTGCAAGTTGAAGACAACAGTACCTCCAGGCAGCATAATCGCAGATGAGGGCCCCATAGTGCTAAATATTCTACAAATATTTTTGTAAAATATGCCCTTTTCCCCAAAGAGCTTGCCTCCTACTGAACAAAACCAGCACCAGTGTGAACTCTGAAATGGCATTGTATTCCAAGCACTCACCTGGTTCATCTGGCAGGTGATATAACAGAGGGACTGGTTTGTTTCTTCTCCCTCCACATAAGCATCCATCACCACTGTCCTCCCCTCCAAATTCAGGACACACTCATAGTCCCACTGCTGGTCCTGCAGAAAATACACGTGGTACCATTTCCCAACTATACAGAACTTCCTGCTACACGACAGTATACTCCTGCCTCTCCAATTCAGTACCTTTTACCAAGCCACTTACTGTGCAGGCAGCGTGCTCCTCTCATTCCCTTTGTTATGCCAACTCTATGCTATATTCAAGGGCTCTCTATGCTGTCACTGCCTCCATGTACGAAAGGTAAACCAATAGAAAACAAAACACCTAGAAGGGAGCACGTGTATGTCAGTGTGGGGAGAACTCAGCACCGGAGGAGGACTTAAAGAAAAAAATCAGTGGGACTGTGAAGTTATGCCTGTACGTCTCTGTGAAACACTGGCTTGGAAATGCGAGGAGTGGAGCACACAGTGCACACTGGAGTACACAGTGCACCTCAAAAACTAAGAGTATTTTTCTTCTTTCTCTCTCTGTCTCCCCTGTAAATCTTCCACTGAATTGCTTAGAGCAATTTTACCTCCTGTAAAAAAAGATGGATGTGCATGTGTAACCAGCCCTGCTCCTCTGAGCAGCGCAGTGTATCAAGTTTAACATATAAAGTAACAATTAGTCTGTGGGCTGCATGTTGTGAGGCGGTTGTTTGTAAAAGGTTACTAAATCAGTCTTCTGTCTTGAGAAGCAAAGAGAATTTTTATCAGAGGCACACCCAAGAAACATAGCTTTCAAGGGTGGTTTTCCCCATTGCAGAAGTTTCAGGTACGACAGGAATAGCCACATTAACATGAGTATGCCAGAAAGGAAAGGGAACAGATGACTTATCTTTGGCTTATGGAGAAACAAACAATCAGCAGAGATTCAGCGTGAAGTTATTCCAAGAACTACCATCTACAGTGCAGCACAGGTGCAACTTAATCCTAACCCATGCAGATCTTCTCCAGCAGGTTGTTGTACACCTGTATTCTCCCTTCCTCTGGGTGACCTCCTACCAACTAATAAATCCAGCTATGTAATTCTTTATTCACAGAAGCAGGTCATGCCTCTAGCTGTTTCTGCAAACAGGAAAAACTTAGGCAGAGCCACAACTGTGTCTTACACGTATTTTTAGCAGTCCAGTGGACAGATTGCCCAAACAACATTCTGCATTAATACAGTCTCTCAATCCTAATGGTGTTGAGCTGACTACCTGATAGAGGTGGAAATTCTTTCCCAGCAGGGTTATCTTCCTTGCCACATTGACTGGAAACAGCGAAGAGCCCTGGATTCCCTGCACACAGGGACATGCATCTGGACCCCAGCTAAGCTCTTCATTCTGAAAACAAACACAGGTCTTTAGAGAAAGAGACCTCCATGGCTCTGACACAGGGAATCAAAGCCTAACATGCCAACAGAGAAACGAGCCCTGCGTGAACAAAGACACAGCTGTGCTTCTTTACCATGAAGTTCCGAGAAAGCAATGCAAGAGCTGAAAGAGGTGAACAGCAGAAAGCTGTGAATATGCTGAACATCACAGCAGCTGCCACCTTCAGGCCAGCAGCATTTCTACAAGACCCGGGAACCTTGCTGACATTTTTCTTCCTCAGGCTGCCACTTCTCTGCATATTATAGCGGTCAGCTTCTATACTCTCAGAAGGCACGACTTCTCCTGTGTGCTGAAATACTAGACCAGCAATCTGTATGAAAATTTCAAAGTGTTACAGCCTTAGATTATGAATTCCAAAGCCCAGCAACTCACCTCCTCCCAAAACTCAGGGGCATCATACTGATAGTCAAGGTCAGGGTGGAGGATCCTGGGAAAGTCAGGGACATCCCTCTCTGAAGAATCGCCATCACCCGACAGAAGAGTAGAAGCAGAGAAGGGAGATGTGTCATTCTCAGCCTGCAGCAAATCCATCCAGTCCTCTGTGTCCTGAAGCTCCATGCCTTCTTCCAGCAGCCAGTCTGGGGGAGCTGATGGTGGGAGCTCAGAAGCAGGTAGTTCAGTTCCCAGCAATCCGGGAGAGTCATCAGAGGCAGCAGGGCCCCCTGGCACCTGGCTGGGGGTTTGGGGAGATGGGATGGCAGATGTCAGTGCCTCTGTGGTAGGAAAAGAACTCAGAGGCCACTTCAAACTGGTGACATGAGGGGAAGGTGTTACTGCTGCTGCAGATGTGTGCAGAGGGCTACCCGCTAGGGTGGTAGATGGGTTGGTATGCTGTGGCTCCTGGGCAGTGGCTGGCCCTTCAGTAGGCAAGGCTGCATGATCCACGTTTTTGGATGGGCTGGTGAGGACAGTTGCAGCAGGAGAAGTTGTCTCTGGCACAGTGACAGCAGGTTTGTCTGCTGGTGGTGGTAGAGGGGATTCTGTGATGGCCTGGAGAGAAGCTGCTTCAGTTGAGAGAGTCAAGTCCGTATAGCTGAGGGTATAGCTGAGGGTTTCTGTAGGCTCAGTTGTTGTATCCGAGGCTGTGGAGAGCGTGACGTGGTTGGGCTCTGTCGGGGGCACAGTGCTTGGTACCACACGCATGGGGGGAGTGACGGGTTTTGTGGCTGCGGTTGGGGCTGTGGTAGAGGACTTGGTGAGGGGAGCTGCTGAAGAAGGAAACACACTTGAGGTTGGGATCTGGGCCTAGAGAAAAACAACATGGTGGCGTGAGAAGAGAGAGAGAGAAACAAAACAGAATAAAATCCAGGCAGAAAAACACTCCGTATTACTTCCTGTAGTAGTGTTCACAAGAGGCTGCTTCACACTCTGGATTTCAATGAGAACTACATCTCATGCCACCTTGTCTTGGGGTGGGACTGGGGAATGCTTACAGTGCAGAAGATCCAGCAACATTCCCTCTTCCCACAGATGCCTGCACTTCCCTCCACTCAGAGGGAGGTCTGTCTGCCTTCATCCCCCACAAAACTGCAAGGCCACCTGTGGTAGCCACAACCCGGGCATCTCCCTGCCAGCTTGCTCTGTCCCTCGCTTTGAAAACACAGGCTGGATAACCCCAGGAGAAGGGTGACTGCTTCATCTGATGGCAATTCCCTAGAAACCTAGCAAGGCCTTGTAACATCAGAGGTGTAGAGCCTTGTGTCGCTCCAAGGGGAGGCTCTGCTCCAACAGGTCACCTCCTTGCTTGATGCCACTGACAGCTGCTATTTTACCTGAGAAGAGATCTGACTCACTGCTACTTGCTGAGGCTGTTATAGAACATAGGACTAGGACTGAGTAGGACACGCACCCTTTCGTTGTAGATAATGGTTCCTTCCTCACAGGCTGCTTTGTGGGTGCAGAGGTGCTGCTGGATGCACCAGTTACATCCCCAGAGACTGCTCACACACTTCTGGCACCTGGAACAATGATAGAAAAGCAGCTCCTAAGACGACCCAGGAAGGAACAGCCACCCTCCCTATAACTACAGACAAGAAAAAGCAGGTGCTCACGGTGCCGATTTCCACAGCAGGGCCACTGCAGCACAGTCATAGAAAGAGAAGTCCACAGAAGCAATGAAGATGTCATGGAAACGCACAACGAGCTTTATGGTGACATGATCTGAAAATGAAAATAAAAATTTCTTAGAAATGGAGCCACTATAAGTCTGCCATACTGTTAAGAGACATGGCATGCTTTAGGAAAGACACCGTCAAACATGGAGACAAATTCCCTTCCACGCTTCTAGCATCTCAATCACTGGATTATCCTATGGACACTAAAAACAGGTTGGACAAGTTTGTCAGGAGTAGTTTATGACAGCTCTTGCCAACCCATGGGAAGGAAGACTAGTCTGAAGATCCCTCCGTCTTTATATGCTATAATTCCACTGCCATTTAGAGGAAGATGTAACATTCCAGACTCAAAGCCGATTGCCTGCCTTTGTTATCCAAAGCAAAACTTAGAACTGACATGCCTTTCACATACTGCCTTCCTCTTGAGAGCTTTGTTCTATGTCCAGACTAAGAAGTGAGTCAGTGAAGAGGTTTATAAAACTTGTAATGTCACTCGCAATGACTGAAGGCTTATCTGCTTTAAATCCAAGTCTCATGTCAACTACAAGCCTCAGGATAGCCCAATTCTCTTTGGGAAGAGACTGTTTTCTGATAGACCAAATAGCTGCAAAGACTGTCAAACTTACTGCAGCTGACAGCAAGACCCTGAAGGAGACATTTTGCATATGACAGTACTCAAATAGCTAATTAATCTTGTTCTAGACCAGACAAATGCCCCCAACCCTAGACTTGGGTATTAGTTCTCCAAATAATGGGAATATATTGCATACTCTGCTCAAGTCCAGGAGCTGCCATTTCTCCAATATAGTCTGCTATAAAAATAAGTAACAAGAAGCTTGTCCATCATTTCTCTCTCAGAATTCAGACCTCTTCTTGCAAGCAAGCTCTATTCACAACAAAACAATTAACATGTCTGGTGAAGGATCAGTCAGGCCTAAGCTGGGTTCCTGATAGGATGACAAATGAAGCAATATGCTAGTAAAACAGCTGATGGTGTATGAAACCCTGCAATTAGGAGGAAATAAGGGTATCGCAGCTGGAGGCAGAAGTCACTGCAGTACTGTCAACTCCCATTACTGTCATAGAGGTGATTGTATTTGGCAGTGGTGGAAAGGCTAACACCTCCCAGGATTTCAAGGGTTATGACACCATATTTATACATATTCCTTTCTCCAAAAAGTACATTATTTCCCATGACTGCCAATAACATGGTTCAACAGTACAGAAGATGAGGTTGAGCACCTGCAAATTGAGAGTAAGAGTTTCTGCTATCAACTTGGAACTCAAAAGCTTAAAAGTGACAGATAAGCTGGTATGCAACCTTTAAAACAAAGCTGAAAAAACGGCAATTATTTTAGTGAGCTGGGAGAAGTATTATAAGTAGGAATATGAAAGTGCTGGTACCTAGGGTCCTGATAAGATCTCATTTACAAAACAGTGTATGATTCTGGTTACCATCTTCAGAAACCGTGCAAAGAAGGGTCAGCAATACAGTGAAGGAGAGAGGAAGTCTGAGTATCAAAAGAACATGAAGAAAAAGGTGGCACAGTTAATACGGCAAAACTCTGTGCTAAGAATGCCTGACCATAGTTCACTGAGGGGGAGAAGAGCTGTGCACGGAAAAGGACAACACAAATAGATCAAAAGGACACAAACCATCCATGAGCGAGTTTAGGTTAGAAAACAGAAGCAACTTGTTGAGCCTCAGAGATGCAATATGAAAGTTAACACAGCATCTATGGACTCTGGAAATAAAAGCAAGACTGACCTACAAAGGAGTCAATAAGAATATCTGAAGCCTGGAATAACGAGAACCAGACTGTGGCTTTATCTAACTCATTTTTCACAACTGTGCTTAAATTCAGGCCCACATTTGCAGAATTAAACAGGGAGCCAATCCTGCCCACTCTGCCTGTAGTGGCAGCGCATGAAGCCCTTTCCCTCTGTGCCTGACCACCCTGAATGGAGACCTGGTCAGTTTGTTCCAGACTAAAGCCATGTGAAAGCCAACAGCTATAATAATATTGCAAATAATATTGCAAATTAAGGAATTTGAGAATGAGTGAGTGTGTTAGCTGGGTTCTGCTGTCATGTTATGTCCATGGAGATTGCTTCAGACCTATTAGCCAGCTGCATACTCGCACAGAAAGTCTGTTTAGCCATTTAGGTGAATCGCATGGAATGCTTCCCAACCAACACCTGCCTTTTACTTCAGATGAACAAGCTCTTCAAAGAGATCAGCTCATCAGAGCTCACATTGACAGGCTGGGTAAAAGCCAATGCAAAGACTATAAACTGAGAACTTCCCAGGTTCTTTAGAGTGGCCAATTAGCAATATTCAGCCAGTTATTGTTCATGGTAATAGAAGGCTGACTATATATTTTCTGAGGTTATGCTGCATTGTAGATTAATTTCTAAGGACTGCAGGTCTCTCCTTGCCTTTCTTTACATGTACTTCCTTCTCCCACTACTATGTTGATTTTAAGAAGGTTTGCATTTTGTTTTATTTAAATAATAAAGCGGTATTTAAGCGTGTTCTCTCTCCAGATTTATGACAAAGCTGCCAAACCAGCCACCACTCTAGACTGCATTTCAGATCATATTCAGATTTGCATACAACCCTTCAAGCAGGATCTCCTTTCCAAGTACCAGAATTTGGCAACAGCCCAAAATAGCACAGGATGTATGCGACACACAAGTAGAAAGCAAACCGGTATTACGACAGAATGAAATTAACACCTGCTGACAGACCACATACATTCATGGCTGTTAATCCTAGCAATCTGATGGACCTACAATGTACTTTCTCCCCACAATATTATCAGAGCTATCACGCTCCATTTAAAGCATTTCACTGACCTGCTCCTGTTGGCAAAGTTGGTGCTTGGCTGGGATCTGGAGAAGGACACATGATGCCTGACTCTGTCAGAACTGCTGGGCTTTCATAATCTTCAAAGTAACATGAGTAAAAATCTTCCTCACGGAGAGAAGGTAAGTCTGAGATAGCCAGGAATATCTACCAATTCAATAACACGCAGTAAATAATTTGCCCTCTAATACATTCTTCTTCATCTAATTTTCTGGTTCTATTTTTTCAAAGTAACAGCCCCATAAAGTAGTTATTTACATATACACCCATCTTCCTATAATGCCTGCTAGGACTGACTGTTCCATTCATCACTTCTTGCCATTCCCAAACTGAACTTGGCATCCACCAAGCAACTGTCAACTTCCCCCTTTGCCCAAGTCTCTAGTAAAAGACAGGTTTTTGCCACCTCCTGTCACAATGACAGACTTCAAAATGCTGCAGCACCTTCTTAGCTTTTCTGCCAGCTCTCAGACGCCAGACCGAAGTCGTAATTTTGGGTAGCTCCTTTCAGTCTTCCTGACAGCAAGTGTCAAAAACACTGTGAAACCACAGACATGGGCACCTTATAGGTACTAAGCCAAGGAGAGACCCCACCCAAGCAGCCATCAAATACTCCAGAATACCCAGTAACTCTTAGCAGGCAAGGACATTTAATTTTGAGAGAAAACCAATGAAATTATCTCCTGGTACAGCCAAGCTGTTAAGTCCCTTATGTGAGGCAGACAACATGTGCTTGAAGGCTCGGTGATTCAGTACCCCACCGAAAACAACAGGAAGACTTGTGACTCCTCAAAGTTTGCAGGGGACCTTCTACATGCTTGAGCGTCATCAGAGGATCATCACCACTCACATTTCTCTTTTCTTCTCTGCTGATGTTGGCTGGAGTTAGTGACTGGACAGACAGACACTGCTGTGTAGAGTTAAAGCTCCAGAGCCACTGCTCACTCAACCTGGACCGCAAGCACTCAGAGTGACGGCTGCACCTGCAGGGAAATAGCAAGAAGCCCTATGAGAGATCTGTGCAGTTCCAGCACCTTCGGCTTCCAAGCTGACACCAGCTGTCTGAAGCCTTGCTAGAGCCTTGGGGAAGCTGCTACACCAGCCATGGAAATCCCAGCCTCCCACCACCTTCAATAATAGGAGGAACTGTTGCCAAAATATAGATGGGTAGGCACTTTTTGGGCTTCAAGGGTCATAAGCTAGTTCCTATAGCATTCTACAGGGAGACAGAGCCAGCAAGCAGACAGACACGCTGGAATAAACCATGTCTCATTAAGCAACATCAGTAGGGGAGCAAGAAGTGAAAAAGAGTGCTTAAACAAGAGAATGACACCAGAAGAAGAGGTAAGATAGTTTCTCTACATGTGAAATGAGGCAGTTGGAGCTGCAGTCAGACTAAAACCAGGCTGAAATCCACTGGACAGGAGCATCGTGACTGTTGACCAAAGACACAAAAAGTAATGGAAAGATACCCTTGTGTATGACTGTGACTGCTGGCGGTGTTTTTAGGGAGGCAGACAGAGGAACAGTAAGTTAAGAGATGACATCCCATAAAGGAACTAAAAATAAACTAAATCCAGACACACCGACATACACAGACACACAGACATAAGGAAGAGAGTAAAGCACTATCCCTCCAAAATCTTTGCAGGTGATCATGGATCTGTCTTACCGTCCCTGAAGGACACACCAGCCACAGTAGGGATCATTCAGCGCCAGACAAGATTCACAGTCCAAGTACAGGGAACATTCCAGTATGGGAACCTTGACCACCTGTCAGAGGAAGAAATCAGTGAAAATACAGCACACACAACACAGGGCCCAGGCCTATGGCTTCTTCTGCCTAACTAGCAAGTACCATCATCTGCGTGCTCACTGAAACAACTTCTTAATCCCCAATATAGCATAAAAATAAAGAGAAAAGGAACAAGTTTCCAAAGCCCATCTGAATGGCCATTTCACATCTTGGTGAAGGACACCTAAGCATCAGGCTGCACAGAGGCACTGAGGTAAGCGAAGTGTATTGCTGTGTATTAATGGGTTATCTGCAAAAGTGTATTAATGGGTTATCTGTGACACTTTCTACAAGAAGGAGAGTTTATTTAGCGATAAAACTATATCTTAACAAAATGGATCAAAGAATAGTAGACTGAATACCATTCACTCTTTGCTTTTCTGGACTCTGTCATGGGAGATCATTTCTCTTGACACACAGGTGACTGAAGCTGGAGACGGCAGCTCCAGGTGAGGCCTCTGAATGCATCTGCACTATTGCTCAGCTCTATCTGGCAGAACTATCATTTTGACTGAAAGTAGACCAAGAAGCTTTGATCAGTGTGGACCAAAAACCTTCTGCCACCTGGGGGTAAGTTTTACTTGCAAAACACTTCAACTTTAAATTACTACCCTTGCTGATTTCAGGCTCTTGCCATCTCTGATCCACTACTACACTTCAGCTACTACACTGTCAGTTACTTTAAAATATCAACTTCTAATCCCTGACGTATTACTTTTGCTAAGTACATGATGTAATTTGCATTTTTTAACTGACAGAACAATTACTGTTAAGGATATATTTCAGATTTCCCTAATCTTTTTCCACTCACAGATTTCAACTCCTTCTTTGAAGTGTTACAAAATTTGTGCGTATCTCAAAGTGCACTGGTGGGGGGGGTGAAGGGAAGCAGTGGTTTTCCAGCATGCTCCCCCCAACCCCCCCTTCAGGGTAACTCAAGGGCTGCTTTTTCGTTTGCCAGGAGGATCCTTTTCTTGCCAGCTCAAGAGCTGATATGAGCGGTGTTGTACAAATCCTCTCAAATAAAGTATCCATAGCTGGATTTCCTACTCAGCAGACACCAATACCCCAAGAGCCTGAGGCATCGCAATGCCTCTTCTCCTCCAACTGCCACTGGGCACAGACAGAATTACAGAAAGCAAGAGAAGAGGGAAAGGTGCCTTGCATGGTTGATTTCATCTGCAAGTCTATTGTTATGTATCTGGTCAGAGCGCACCTCTATCCAAAGATATTTCCCACACATCTCTACTTTTTGTAGGTTACATGCCTACAGAAGAACAGCTTAATCTTTTAACTGATTAAAATCAGGAGAAGTGACATGGTTTTAATTACACAAAACCTCCGTTTTCTCTTTTTACTCTTTTGCAAAGTCAAGACAGGTCACATTACTTGTGAACCCAGAAGGGTGACATACTTCTGCTCAGATGGAGATGCAAACTGTTGTCCAAACAGTTCCTGCTCAACACAGAGGAACCCAGGAATTTGCAGTCCTTTGCCAATGGAGCAGCCTTTTATAGCCTGCAGTTCACATTCTTCCATCACTGCTGATACAGCCTGACTTACGGAAATACACATGCAAACAGGCCACGGTTTAGGGTAACAAGACTTCTTCCACGCTTCTTCCAGCTTTTGCAGAAGGCCCCATCCCTGTAAGCCAGAGTGGCAGGCAGCTGCTGCCCAGCACAGGCTTAACTATAGACACCGTTTCTCCGCCTTCCCCACTCCCATCAGTAGTTTGTCTGGACCCCAAATGCTTTCACCTCTTCTGTGGAAGGGTTTTTATTGCTCTTACCATTGATTGGGTCATGACAAAGAGGTGCTCCTGCAACTGGTCAAACAGTAGGTCTCCACTCACCATGCTGTTTAACTGGATAGCTAAAGAAGCGTATATACGTGCATCTCCCATTGCTCCTAAGTACACCTGCAAGAGAGTCACAGTGATATGTAGAGAAAGTGTCAGAACAGGAGTTGGAGGCATCTGTCCTACAACAGGAACAAGCTGGAACCACTGCTATGTGTGAGAATTTCAACCTCCCCCCAAAATCTCGATGCAGGGACTTCAGCCACATGAAGCATATGCCCAACAATACCTGTGGAAGCCACATAGGATGCACCAGCCCTGAAGCTGGCTCAGTGGAGATGTAACCAAAGGCAATGTGACCACTGTTTGGGGCATTCGCATTCTCAACAGTCAGCACAGTGTGAGAAGAGGCCATCTGATATTAATGATCTTTAGTAGGAACCAGATCTCCCAAGAGACAAGAGAAATTGCCTTTTTTTCCCCTCCCCACCTGAGCATCCCTGATTAAGTTTTATTCTCTTTGCTTCCTGTCACATCCAGATCGTACCTTGTGCAGTCTCCCTCTGCTGTCTCCCAGAAAAGCAATGGTGTGGCCATCTTCCACATTCACTGCCACGGCTGTCAGACGGGCCTCTGTTTTCTCCAGGAGGGGGGCTGCTTCCAAGGGTACCCGGCTGGCCATAGGGCTGGGAGTGTGGTCAGAGCCACAGGGGTATGCATACAGGGTGTCCTTTTTGGGGAGTGGAAAGAACAGGGAAATCAGTACCAAAAAATGGATATGAGGAACATTAGTACCTTTAACACTTCCCACCATCCCCTTCCACACAAATTCCTTGAAGAGGTGCCCCAGCACTGAATTCAGCTTTGAACACCTGTAGGCTTTTTGACTGAGAGCAAACCCAGTTTTTAATAATTAGCTTAGGTATGTTGGCTGTTTGTACCTTCACAGAATCCTGCCGACGTTTCAGTTACGTCCATTCAGCATAACAGACACATCCATCATGAAATGTGTCAAAACTCTATTAAGCAACCAACTCTTAAGCTCTCTAAAAAACATTGGTTACACATTGCCATTATACAGCTTTGGGGAAGATTCATTGTATTTTTCAGAACAAAACAAGATTATGAGAATTCCTGCTTCCAGTACAAAACAGAACCAACCGCCTGGTCTCAAGCATCGCCTCCAACAATTAGCATGGTTTTGTTGTATCACCTACAAATTCTAATTCAGATTCTAAGTAGAATCCCAAAGCATTAGGATATACATAAACACAGGGTGGAGCACAACCTGCTCCAGAGAGCTTACTAGCTACACATAAAAATCATAGAATGCATACAACCAGAGATCCACAAAAAGTCAAGACAAGAGTCATCTCTGCACACTGCTTCAATTCTTCTGAGGCTTGTGAGATTCCTGAAATTAACTCCACAGCATTGTGCAAGAACAGTCATCCTTCTGTTCCAGTTAGATCCCTCCCAGTTCCACCAAACCTTCACTTACCGAATTCTAAAGGAAAGAGAATGAAAGCTGCCAACTTATTTACTATTTGTACACATAGAGAGAAGATATTCCATTATGATTAATCTTCTTCCTAAGTAACAAACCCAGTCATGTCTAGGTTAGTTCCTCCATTGCTTTCTATCTTTCTTTGACATGTTGTTCTGTGTCCACTTTAATTTTACAGTATCCTTTTGGAGACTGAATGGAGGATTGTTCACCCAACAATTACTATTAAAAACGTAATTTTTTTAATCTATCAGTGGCTTGTCTTCAAACTATAGGACTCGTGTAAACTGATGATTTTCACCATGAAATCCCTTATGAATAACATTTTCACCCTCCTCTCCAGCCCCTTACTAATTACTCTTACGAAGCTGCATGTGGAGCAGAGGCATTAACTGCACAGTCCACACGGACTCCAGCTCCCTCTCTTGCCTCGGGCAAAGCGGTTGTATTTAGACTCCTTGTGAGCAGGGTTACGTATTCCTTCTGTCTGATGTCCGTGGCTTTGCATTTGGCAGCACTGAGCTGCTCGGTGCCATCCGGCACCAGGCAATGGAGCTGCCCCCGCCGGAGGTCAGTGATAACAGCACAACGTGGCATTCTTGAAGCATCTGCTCATCAGCCCATGCTGACCCCATGGAAACCTGACCTTTTTTCCTCCTCTCCTCCCATTTCTCTGGGTTTTTTTTGTGTGGTGTTTTTTTGTTGTTGTTGTTGTTGTTTATTTGGGTTTTTTTTTTGTTTGGGTTTTGCTTTTTTCTTTTTAATACTTGACTGCTTCCTGGAGAAACTAAAAATTATCAGAAGCTTTTGACAAAGTCTATGGAAATCCCACAGTAAAACATATTTAGCCTGCTGACCTCTATTCACTTCTCAAATGTATTTTAGCAGGGAAGCAAGGCTTGACATGGCAGTTCCACGTAAGAAACCATGCCAGTTATTAACCAGCATTACTTTTGTTCTGATGCTTTACTGCTTTCCTTTCAAATACTTCAAGTGATTTCCTACATACTAGGTGTATGGCTCTGACTTAAAAGTCTCAGAGGAGGTCACAATTTTTAATGATCGCTAGTTTTTACCTTCCTCTAAGCTATCATTCATGTTCAGTGACAGATATTTTTCTTATCAGCTGTCACTTGATTCTTAAGCTTCTTCCAACCACTTTCTTGTAACTTGAAGATTTCTATTTTTTCAGTTGTCCAGTTACTATAGCATTTAATAGGAAGTGGGTCACAGCCAAATTTTCATACTCAAAAGCATCAAGTGTTTATTTTGAATGGGATTCTAGCAACCTTTGCATCAATGTAGACAAACCCTGGAGCCTAATGACCTCACTTCTGAGGCCGATTTTTAAAGTTTGCTTAAAAAAAAAAAAGCACACAAATCAGAAATAGTTGTAACCGAGTTGGCTAAGCATTGCTGTTGCCCATATGCGATGCCAAGGGCAAGTCACTTCACACACGACATTTATCTACCATAAACCAACGTGACCTGCGCAAGCTCTCCCAGTGCTGGCACAGCCTGCCTGTGGCCTCACAGGGACTGTCTGCAGCGCAGTTAATCACAGCCAAGAGCTGCAACTTGTTCCATTCCACAGGATTAAGACCATGATAATTGTATAAAGTGCTTATATAAATTTACATAGAAGCTGTTTGAATTGTTTTCAGCGAATAACGTCTTGGCAACACAGCAGAAAATACACTTCAGGGATCATCCAGCGTGATGCAGCAAGTTTGGATGAAGCTGCTGCCGTGAATTCTGGTGTGCGCTTTCCTACATTGCACAGGTGAGAAGCAACAACAGGACAAATCTGTATCTATGCATGAAGAGAACTGAAAGCTCGGTGCAAAAGGACAAGTTACATACCTTGAAAACTGCACCCACAGAAGATATGCAGCCTTCCCAAGCTTTGCAGAAACATGTTTCACAGTTCCAATTACCAAGTCACTAACAGCATCTACAGTCTCCTGCATCTCAAGACTAATGGATCTCCAGTGAACTAGAACAAATGAACTGGTTCTGAAATTCTAATAAAAACAAGCTTTTTTTTTTTCCTAGTTGAAGAGATTGTATTGAACTGTAAAACTCAATCTTAGCCTCTCCTGATGGGCTAAAAACAGGAGGCAGTGCTAACTAGGGAAAAGGGCATACCTTGTGCACAGGCTGGTTTGGAGGCAGAAAAATGTGAAATTAATTAGCATTATCCTTACGTACAGCACAAGCTGCCACCATTGAAACCAAGTTAAAACTGTTCCTGCATAAAATGTTCATTGACAGCCGCTTCCACTCGGCACTGAATGGAGCAGGCTGGAGCTGGCACAGACCCTTATGTGTTGTTAGAAACAATCTTAATGACAACCGCTACCATGTACTGAATGGTGAAGGATAAAGTTTGTTAGGACATTTACATATCATTGGACACGCTTGTTAATAAGACGCCATACTTTAGTCAACCCACTAGTGCCAAACTGTGCAGCTGGGAGCCTGGGATCATGCGCCAGGAATCACGTAGCAAAACTGGCCTTTTTCTCCCACCCTGTGCACCCACTTCCTCACTGGATCAAATGGAACAGGAATACTTTACGTCATTTTGAATGAAGGATTTTTCTAAAGTACTCACACCGGTTTGACATTTAATTCCCCAAAGCTCCCCTAAAAATCACCTGTGACAATTCCTTCCACGCGGCACCACAAGAGACATGTGGGGCATGGCTGAGAGATACAGTGAAAGCAGGACATCAAGCTGGGCAGTCTCCTGCTTCCCAACTCTTTTGTACTTCTCCTGACCTTACATTTGTCCTGCTCCAAGTCTGCTCTCTACCCTTCCCTTGTCCCACAAGTATTCTACAGTCAGCTTTAGCTACCGAAAGGAAAACCATAATTTTAAAACTGGTTTTGGACCACACCCCCAACCCCAGAGACTTCCAAAGCTCTGTGGTACCACTTTGCTCTTTGTAGCACAAGGCTGGGAAGAGGCAATTATCTGGACAGCCTGTTCTGTGGAAGGAAGACACAAGATAACATGCTGCTCTGCTAAGGAGTAGCAACGCCCTCGGTGAAAACAGGCTACTCATAACCACAGAGCCTCATGCCGGGACGCTGCATCCAGCACTGCCCCAGCAGAACACTGCTGCTCTGTGTTTGTGTCACCATCCCCGATGTTGCAGCACCAGCCAGCGTGGCTGACAAACTGCAAAGATTCGGGGTCGCAGCCACTTCAGTTCACGTTTTTATCCTGCAGCATCCCATCATGCCTTTGTCATAGAATTTAAAGAAGGATTGTCACCTCTTACAGCTCTAGAGACAAAGAAGAGCCAGGTCAGGAAAAGGTCTTCCTTGGGCACAAAATCCTGCAGGACTAATGCAGTCTGTAGGAAATTAGGATTTTGTTGACACTTGTTTTTCCTTATGTTCTTTTTCATTCCTGGGTGTCCTTGCAGGAAAACATTGTGAGTTGCACCTCACCATAAGCAACAGGGACACAGTACACCCCTTAAACTCCCTTCCCAACACACAGCTGCACATGCACGTACTCCTCTCTTCCCTGCAGTGCAGTCCAGGACATGAAATTACTGATAAAGAACAACCTGAACTGCAGCCTCAGTGTTCTCGCCTGGTATTGCCATGAGACAGGCCTCAGGGCCAGGTCACACCAGATGCCCTCCCCATTGCCACACACAGTCCATGTCCCTCTGCAAGGAAACCTGCCCATGTGGGGCAGAGCGCTGCAGCAGCAATGAGACTGTACTTAAACAGGACACAACGGTTCTTGCATTGCATTGCTGCAGTAGCAGAGACAGCCTGAGCCCAGAGGGGTTTTATCCCAAACAGGTTTCAACATCCACCTGTGGGAAACGGGATAACTTCAGGAATACAAAGCAACACAAGAAGACGCTCCAGACTACTCTTTACCCTGGCAAAGGTGCAAAGCAACTTACCGCTGGCAGCTGGACACAGTTGGAACTGACATCATATTCAATATATGCCACTTCCATCCCTTCTTCTGACTTCCCATCTCTCATGTAGCAAACATCCCTAGTCCAGTTGGTTAGGCGATCCACCTCCTCCATTGCATAGACACAGAGTGCAGACTCCTCGCTCAGTTTGCCAGAAGTCGTCTGCCAGGCAGAGAAGGCTGCAAACAGCACTTCCCCCTCGGTGTCCAGCTGCCCCTGGGACAGGTCTTCTCCTGGCCGGGTGACATAAGCTGCTTGCAGGAGGCTGTATGTATTGGCTTTGCTCTGGCAAAGCAGAGGTAACTCCACATACGAGTAATAATGAGAGTCATCCAGGCAGATTCGCGAGATGTAGGTCTTGTATTCACGTGACTGAGACTTGAGGTCCCGACGGTAGAATAGGAAATAGACGCTTGAGCGGTAAGTGAAGGATTTAATGAAATGGTGGTTGTACTCAGAGAGCCGGCCCACAGCCAGTTTTGCTGTTTCTTCATAGGAGAAAATGGAGTGAGAGTCTGCTGCTTGAACATCCCCTCCATGGGCCCTGAGATTTCGGGTAGTGATGGGAGGAATCCCTCCTCCAACCCCTCGGCTAGTGTACCCTCGTCCCACAAACAGCAAGGGGACCTCATCCTTTGAGTAGGCTATGAGTCCCACAGTGGTGATATTGGGATCATTGGCAGCAACATACTGAGTGTCACCAGGGCTCTCTGGTCGGAAGAGTACATGGTCGATGGACGTGAGGCTCCTCTTCTCACAGATTCCCTGGTGCACACTGCCACACACAACGAGCTCCTTCTGCACCGCATTCACCAGCAGCAGCTTGTTGTGATTGTCGGTGTGGTGTGCCTGAGGGCACTCCATCTTTGAGACTGGGGGGAGGCAATCTTTACTGTCCAGTACTGGTCCAGTCTGAGCCATGCTCTTCATCAGCAGATCAGATGTCAGCTGAAAGAGAAAGTTGGTGGCCCCCAAGTAAATGGTCCCAGATTCCAAGTCCATAGACAGGTGGAGGAATTTCGTAGTATTGCGTGAGAAGGTGACATACTGCAGTCCCCGTGGAATTGCTGCTCCCAAGAAGCAGAGAACAGGAACGAGGAACGTTCCCAGAGGCATGGTAAACACTCTGCAAGAGAGGAAAAGCTGTTATAACTCCTCATAAACCAGGAGTGAAGATTAACATGACTAAACACAGAAAGCAGAGAGCCAGACACAAAGAGCCAACACAGGACATTTACACAAACACCAACAGAAAGAGGCTTGCAGCAGTATCAGAGACTTAATCGTCTCCACATCAAGATGACAGGCACAGCATCTTCAGGAGAAGCTGGAATACTGCACGTAATGTTCCTCAGGGGTGGTACTGGGGAAAGCTTCCCTTCAAGAGCCCAGGACTTGTATCAAACCTGCTGAATAAACAGCCCAAAGCACAGATTCATCAATCCAGGGACATAACCTAAGGAGAAAGGTCCTATTTATACTGTGACAGAAGGTGCTTTATGCATTGAAGCTGATCACTATTCTTGTAACATCAGAAAAAGCCATGTTTAGTCACACACCTGCACAACTCTTTCCTATGATGCTATATTGGAAGTTCTCCAGGACAGGACCACATTCCTACAGCACCCAGCACATCACATACACTGTTAATGAGCAACACCACAGTAAAACAAACCCCTGTCCAAGACAAACAACCTGCAGGACCATTGTTTAAATAAACTATAGCTGGGATCCAATTCAGAGCAAACTAATAACCCCTTTGCTCTGTATTTGATCTAGATATCATAATTAATCTGTCTTTTTCTTATCACTTATGGCTATCAACAGCCTCTTTTGGGTCTAAACCTCTTCCACTACTGCTTCAGGAGGAACCTTCCCATGCCATCTCTGCCACTGAGCATGGTCCACCCAAGCAGGACTGCTCTGCCCTGATGCCAGGATGAAGCCTCCAGAGAGTCAGTAACAGCAGCTCCCAGCTGCCCCCCTGGGGCCACCAACCTGCCCCCCAGCCTTGCCAAAGCAGCCCCTGTGGGCCCCATCAACTTGGGCAGCATGTCCAGGCAAGGGGGAGACCACCTTATCTTGCTCACTTGTTACTCCACTCTCCGGGGGAGAAGTCTCTTGCTGGCACTCGTATCTCCGCAGCACCTCTACCAGTGCTGTCAAAGGCAATCTAAACATGCCTGCTCTGTGGATGATGCTCTACTCCTTCCCTGCCCCATGCCTCAAAGTGCAGGCAAGGCGAGATGGGTTGGGTGTAGACAGACCCAGGGAACCACCAGACCCATTCTGCTCCTCTCCAGAGGTCTTTAAATCAACTTCACCTTGACCCACCCAAGCCATGCCAGAGATGGCAACAACTGTCCTGAACAGCATGGTGGAAAGGCTGTAATAAGTACCTGCAATATTTAGATTAATGCTTTCCCCACAGAGAAAGGGCAGCAGCTGCAAGTGCTCATAATTTACCATGAGTACCATGTTATTTGAATTGAGAAGTAGGTGGTGATGCAGCTGTGAATCTACTCCCTTTCCTCCCTCCCTCTTGCAGGCAAGGTGTCAAAGCTACATACAGCTACACAGATGCCAAGCTGGGCCAGAGGCTCAACAGAGTTGATGGGTACCGTATGTCCTCCAGAACTGATGTGTAATCTACTGTGCTCATTTTGGCAACTCAGGTCCTCAGCAGTGATGTTAATTTTGTAGTTAAAGCTAAGAAAATTATCATCACTTCCCTCCTACAGCGTCATCCCTCTCGGATCTTCTTAGTAAGCTCAAAGTGCTTAGAGCCCAGAGGCGGAAAAAGATCTGCAGCATCTCAAGAGAAGACTACCCCAGCAGGACTTAACCCCATTTAGGTCACAAACTTCTCACCACACAAATTATGTCTTCCACTCATTCCATACAACATCCGGCACACAGTGTGCAGAAAACATAGTAGCAATGGTGAGAACAATAACTGTAAGACTCTAGAGCCATCTTTTATTTCACTGCTATTGAAAAAAAACCAAAACACAAAAATCTGCTTTCCAGCTCCTTTGTCAGTAAAACTGGCATTTCTGCTCTACCAAAAGACCAGCTGAGAGGATTAGTCTACTTGTGAAATCCAGCGGATGGAAGGTATTATAAATACAACACATTATTAAATATAGGCTTTGTGAAGCTCTGGGAAAGCTCCACTTCACATGGTTATTGTAGGTAAGTAGGTAGCACTGTCAGGATATACCCACACTCAGGAATGCTGGCTCTAGGTTGGCAGCTTTCTCCCAGAGCACACAGCCGGCGATTCACACCGTACCAGCACTGTGTTTCGGTTCCGTGCACACTAGGGCTTTTGTTTGCCCTGATAATGGACACTTAGTGTTTTCTGCTCTCAGTGCTAGGAACACATTCTGCTTCACCCAGATTCGCAAATAACCCTGAACTAGCCTTGAAGTGTCTTTCCAGGGTGGTGAGAGAGTGTGTTGTAGCACCTGACAGAGGTCCTCACCATGCAGGAGAAGCTCACCATCTGTGGAGCTCGATGAGGGATATTTATAAAGCCAGCAAGTAAACACATGTAGACTGAAGGATGGAGCCCTAACTTGACTCTATCACCTCAGGTTTACATCAGCAGAGCCTATCTTGCCCCAACTCCAATATGCGAGTTATTTTTATGCGTTCTCACCATTTTTATTGGAGAAAACTTTATTCAAGGAACTCCTTAACCACACAGTCATCTCGGTACCTCTGCACTGCCATCATGCAGATGCCACAATGGCTTGTTGTGCAACTCTGTCTGGAGCCTCCTCAGTTTCAAAGCTTAAAACGCCTGCAAACAAAACAACAGGCTGATGACTATCCAACAGCAGGAGCTTGACTACGTCATGACAGAGCCACACTGACATGGAGAAGAGAGTCTTTGATCTGGAAGCAGCTGAGGATCACAAGATATCACTACACTACACCACTCAGAAGAATCTCTAAATCTTCTTTCTAGCTAATGCAACCTTCCTATGCCAGCACTTACACAGTAAAATCGGCATCTGTCTTCAGAATTTATGAATTCTGAAATACTGGCTTTCTGGCTAGAGGTCATGCCTACAAGCTGCAAGACTTTGCTCTGTCCACCACATACCATCACTGACAACTACCAGGGCAGAACTAACACTTACACATGCCACCAGTACTTGAACTCAAAACCCAGCGCATGACACCACTCTAGCAACACAGTTCTTCTATCCCTAATGTTTCCCTGAAAGCATTTTACCTATTGGAGCACCTGTACTGGAAAGAGATGGAGAAGCAACTAGCCTTTCATTCCGGCAGACCGTAATCAAAAGCAGATCTTGCTGTGGTCAAAGCTCTGACCCGAAGCTATTATTCTTTCATTCACCAATATCCCCCTAGAAGTCACTTTAAGAGCTAGTCGTCAAAGGTGTCCCAGGTAAGAAACTACTATCTAGTCCTCATGACTCTGGGAGAATAGAGGGCAGCTGAGAACACACACCCAAAAAAAAAAAAAAAAGAGAAAACAAAGGAAAACAAAGGAAAAAAAAAAAGGTAGCACAGCATGTTCTGCAAGCTAGTTCTAATCGCTCTGCACAATGGGTAAACATTGAATACGTCACTTTTTGTTGCTCTTTGCTGAAGAACCATTAGCGAATGAACTTGTATTTATTGCTAGGTGAGCAAGCATACATTAGAAACAAGCACAAGTGTGTGGCTATCAGTAGCTAGAAGCATTTGCATCCTATGTGAAAATTGAGAGAAAAAAAAAGCCAGCAGCGTCTCTTGATTCAATTTTTCAAGTTGTTTCTCAAGCACGGGCATCACTGCCTTTTTTATTCTTGCTCTTCAGTTAAGCCCATCACAACCTCTCTGGGAGGACAGGAAGGAGGAGGATAACCTACATTTAAATCTGATGGTTTCATGACAGGCTACACTAACTGAGCTCTTTATGGATTTACTGAACCATTCTGCTTCCTGTGCTTACTGCTAGTGTATAACACAGCTGTTACAGACAGATTGCACTAAAAGTGTGTAGCCTTTAATTAATTCTGAAGGCAAGTGCCAAGGCTTAAAGATTCTTTTTAAATATTCCATTTTTTGGATGAGTTCCCGCTAAATATGAAAATGGTCGAGACAATAGTTTGAACATTGCCTCTAATGCACTGTAAGATATTAATATCCAAATGATACTTCTGAGTTTCATTTGTTTAATCTGTATCACAACAGAAGGGCTAGAGGATTAGTCAGTTCTGCCACAGAATATTTATATCACGTCCACTAAACAACCACCAATAAGGTGGAAGCGATGGCACTATTTTGTTACTTGGAATTTGAAATAAGTCCATGTTTTCTGTGGCACTATTTTTACCTCTCTGACCTCACATAACCCCCTCAGAGACTTTACTCATTTATTAAAGAAACAAACACAGAACTCATTTGGAGACATTTTAACAGCATATCAACACGTAAAGATTATTGCAATCCTCACAGATTATTTCCATAATACCATATCCCCAAACATGGAGAGGTCAGATAGTGTTCCCACTTCTAGGCTAGATTTCATACTCAACGCCAATCCCAGCAGAGTTACCCTTAGAAAAATGTAGGACCCTGAAATTTGCCCCTGCAATTTCCACTGCATCATTTGCTGAGCCAACCCGCAGTGAGAGCACTAAAAGATTTAAAAATTAAAAACATAATTCTTCCAGCTGCACGACGACCCTTGTCCTCCAGCACATTCAAATCACCCAGCAGTAGGAAGACGACCATTACTGTGTTTTCTGCACAAAAGCCCTGAATTACAGCCCCCCTTCTAAGTTCCATGTGCTCAACAGAGACTTGCTGTTTTCTGCTGTGAAAGATGACATTCCCATTAAATAAATAAGTCTTTTTTAGAGCCTTATTTACTACTACCAGGCCAATTCCTTGCTCTGCTGTTTAAGAACACTTGCAGTAAGCAGCTCTGGCAGAGATGAACACAAAGCTCTGTTTTCCAAATAAAATTGACCCCAAGGAGAATCCCAAGTTCAAGCCATCCTGTTGGAGCAGGACTGGCATAGACAAGGGAGCTCTGTTATACCACATGTGAGTAACACCAAAGCTAAGGTAAAAATAACTTTAAAAAAAAG